ATTGTTGTTTGTCGAGCACTTTAGTATAATATATCTCTTAATCGCTGAACAAATACAATTTAATAGTAGAGTGTATAATAATGTAGATCTAGACGCAAGGTAATACAAAGAGGTTACTAAAGATAATTAAAAAGAACAGTTATTAAAGATAATTACTAAGGGATAATTAAAAAGAAAAAAGTAAAACTAGCAGAAATAATTTACATAATTAAAAAGTAAGAATAACAGGGATAACCGTTATAAATAAAATCAACGGATTCTTTAATTATTTCGACTCATTTACAAAATTAATGTCTAATCTCCAAGCTCTTTCATTGCAGCTCCAGCTATGGCATTGATAAAAACTTTATACGTTGTGGGACGCGAAGTAGTGGAAAGTATAACGGTGTCACTGAAACATGTTTCCCACACAAGTCCAAGTATTACGAGTCTCCTCAGGTTTACGAGCAGAGGTCTTGAAAAATACCGTCATCATTGCCGCCGCCGCCGCCGTTACCTCCACCACCGTCACGAATCGATCCACTGGAGCCGCTTACGTTCGCGCGTTAACGCGAGCGGAAGACCTTACTTACCGACTACCACGAGACAGCATCTCGGCGGCATATCCGTCCCGTCCAGGAACCGTCGGGCAGGCGCCGAGCACGGCGGCGAGCGGTCAAACGAGCATCAGCAGCAACAGCAGTACGCATACCGACGCTGTCGCGCCGACGGACGCACAGACGCGCGCGCGTGCTAGATCTCCTACGACCTCTAATTGGATTCCGTCCGAGGCCTTATAAAATCGCGAAGCGAGCGAGAGAAGAAGAAGAAGAGAAGGCGGACGACGACAAAGACGCGAGATCGCGTGTGCAACGACGGGACGGTGGCGGCGGCAGTGACGGCGACGGAGACGATCTCCTTTCCCGTGCGTTCGCGAAAACTCGCGAGATCGCCGACCTACGACACGCTGCCGCGAAAAGCGGTTGTTTCATAAGTGTTGTTAACGCGTCCGCGGAAAGCAGAAGAACACGGGGGCAGACGGAGAGAACGAGAGTGAAGGAAAAGGAAGAGGATCGAGAGAAATGATGAATAAGGTACGAGAAAAAAGAGGAAGTCGATGAGTGCGTCGTCCATAATCGTCAAGTTATACGCGCGCGTATAATTGATCTTGAGCGATAGATCAATGTTAATCACACACGTATATCGGCGGAATTTTGCGTTTTACAATCCTGCGTTTCTTTTCGGTTTTTGTCTTGAAAGAAGTTAGTGATCTTACGATTTCTCTGCAAATTAAAAGTGAAATTGACGAAGTGGAATGGAAAGGAAAGAATCACATTAGGTGAGGAAGCTTTTCCGATCGAAAGATTTGTAATTCTCAAGAAGTCGGTCATATAATTGTCGTGAACTTTTTTCCTCTTTCTTATCTTTCTAATGTTGGATCTCTAATAATGTGTGTTATTATTTTCACAAGAGTTATGTTATTTTAACAAACTTATTGGATTTGTGTTTCTAAGAAAAACTTACGACCGTGCAATTATTGTTAAAGGAAAAATTCTTTCTAATTTTAGATTTTTAATTATTAAAGGAAAAGGGCTTTTTAATTTTGGATTTCTGATGATGTATTTTACAAGAATTATGTGACTTCAGTTAACTTATTCAATTTGTATTTCTAGGGAAAAAATGATTGGCCTCAATTATTAAAAGAAAAAGGCTTGATATGAAAAGTTACAGATATAAACAGTAAATATATCTGGGAAAGCAATCCTTTTTATTTGAAAAATTACGACAGGTACTCTTTAGACTTACTCGATACCGTCTTTTATATAGCACGAAAGATTCTCATAAATGGCAACTATAGTCTTACCATGCCACTCGCGTTGACACGAGAAACCTTCAACGAAAAGTAATTTTCTAAGAGTAGTATGGCATTTACTCAGTCTTTTTACGTCATCTTCCAACAACGAAAAAAAAAAAAACAGGGCACTTTTTTTAAGAGAAATCCTAGTCTTTTAAGATCAACGTGAAAAATGTTCGATATTATGGAACATTTGATTTATTTCTTACGATCATTATCTCAAGATAATTGATATAAGTTATAATTCTTTATCTAATTCATATTCCATATTGAATTTTTTGAGAATGTTCTTACGTATATATTTATTCGGCACATTTATTTTTTTTAGTTCAAGCTTTCTTGAGAGATATATTTTCTAGTCATCCTTGAAGTATTTCCCCATTCGCACACTCTACGAAAAAGATATAAGCTTGAAAAACACTTGCGTCGAGATGACGAGAGATCTCGTACGTCGGGAGTGTGCCTAAGAATGTAAACGTGTGTGCGTGCGGGATGTATATGTGTGAAGCATTTACGGGCCGCAGCCGATGACTATATACATGCATGTATATCATCATTGACGAGAGATTGTATAAGAGAGTATACGTCTGTTCGTTGATTCCGTTGATGACTTCGAGTGGAATCTAATACAGCTGTTATATATAGTTGTGCACATAAATTATACATAGTTTATCCAGTTATCCATGCTCGCATGCGTTTCTTACTCCGATTATCTGACTGCATAATTCTTCGTTCCAAAGTTCATTTTAAGCGATTGATAATTCGTGGAAGAAACACGAGAGAAAAATTTCGCGCATAATTTTACGCCTCGGATGTAAAACGCACAAAACGGAATTGCGGAATCGGAATTGTATTCATGGAATTAGAACGTGTTCTATTTTTGCGGGCCGAAAACGCGCGCGTCCGCCAGGTATACGTAGTAAAACTGACAGATTTAATAACTATCATCCGCGTAGTGTTTCAGTTATGTATATTGTTTGTGATAGCAATGACATAATGCCTCCTTATTATATTAGTGCATGCAGCCTTCGATAATAAGCCACGCGACGGTCTCGTAAACAAGAATACGGACGAGAGTCGATTTAATTACACCTACGCTCATTTATATGCAATTATAATCTGAATTGTCTGTGACGTATATCGTTTCTGTTTAATTGATAATTTATATATTGACAATTTGCGTCAAATTGTAGATAGGATACCGTGTCAATTTATAGATTGTCCATAAATCGCATTTAAACGTAAACGCAGATATAATCGAATGACGGTGATTCTGAAGGATGTGATTTCGTCTGGCATATCTATTGGATAATTCCGATAAATGCAGTTCTGCTTTTCTATTTTTAATGCACAACAGAGGCGCATGTCGGGCGCCTAGACGCGTCTTTCCAGAAGATTTATCGGATCGTCAAGTTTTATAAGCTCATTAGGAGCCGCGTTACATCGAGCGATCATTAGTGAATCGCGATCAAATCCCTTCCCTCCATCGATAATTGCCATTCATAAACCTGATGATGTCATTGAACAACTTATTCTAAAATTGAAACTCGTATGTCTCTTTCCCATTGGAAGTATCGAACGTTTAAATAACGTTTTAATGAATTTTCTTGCAGGGAGCAGATTAATTGTAAGGTTTCACTCTGAATCTCTGTCATCCTGCAATTTTTTTTTCTCAAGAGTACCAGCATCACTTCCGCGTTTCTCACGAATGAGAATTAGATAACAGATACAGTTTCTCACCGTATCTTAATTTTCACCAGAGAGATCGAACTGCGCGTACGATTTGCACGAAGAGATATATTTTTCTTTTTTGAATTTATTTATATGTGATTTATGAGACGTATAAATGTCGCGTTCCGGATGTATTCGTCGGTTTGTAAGACCGAAATAGATGCGATCGCGATGGCTCCTTGTGTGCGAGTAGCGTTAGCGTGCGCCGGCGTATTATCATGGCAATTAAAGAGTGAATTGCGAATTGCGCTGATTTGAATATACTCGTTAGCACGATGCACCACGACGAGGCTCGCCACGAAGAGAGACGGCGCGATCGTGCGTGAAAACGCCAACTGACCTATGGCATTATTCGCTTACCTCTCCCACCTCGGCGGTGTGCATCGTACATCGTATACATAAGCAATAACATGAAGTTTTTTATCTAAAGACCTACATAATTTATAATTTCATATGGAAATTATATGCGTGATAGACGTGATGAGGCGAAAACCCTGGCCACGAGGGTCAAGCGCGTGGTTAATGAATTATTAATTTGCGTCCCTTTTTTTAGCAATTTTATGCTCCTCCCGAATGTGAAGCAGCAACATAATGTCCATCACTCTGTGATCCTCGTCGACGGGGATCGACAAAAATCACTTTTTTTTTTTTTTAATTTTTCGTTGAAAATATGTACGTCAGTATACACTTTAAATCGAGAATTATAGTTGCAAACTTAATTAAAAAAGAAATACGGCGTGGAGAATTTTTAAAGGTACACTGAGAAGAAAGTAATTAAGCTTTAATAAATATCTCTTTAAATAGTCCTAACGGAATACTTATTTACAGTAAATAAATATTTATAGATACATGAAGAAAATGACAGTTGAATCAAACTAATTGCATCTTTTGTTCTTGTATCTAGTAGATGTGTTTATATTTAATAAATATTCTAAGACTATTCAAAGAAATATTTATTAGAATTTAGTATATTTTTCTCAGTATATAAACGAACGTTTTAATTTATTGTACACTTTGCGCTGCCAAAATATGTTTCTATATTATTTATCAGACCAATCGATAACTGATTCTCGTAAGAATTTATTATATCGCTTTTTTCCTTCTGTATTAATTAACTGTATTAATTATGTCCAAGAAGATTCCCTTTCCGTCGAATTAATCCGTTGAGATTGGAAAACTAATTCAATACGTCAAAAGAAATGGGAATAAGTAAATGTATATATCAAATGTAATAGTTATATTGGCTGCTTTCAGCAGAGAGAAAGCGACTTATTAAGATATTTTTTTAATATGATTAATTTATTTCCTTCTATTTATATCCAGTGAGGGATTAAAGGTACATATTAAAACCAAAAATCATCGACATTTTGGTTAAAGATTTCTCATCATGCGCGTTATCATCTCAGCTAATACTTTTTATTTCGTTTACTTACAGGAACAGGCTCACGATGCCAAACAACAGATTGCCACAAGTCCCGAGGATACGGAAGACATGCCTGCGGGACAACAGGGCCCGCAGGTGCCACGACGGCGGGGCGGAATCTCAGCGGAGCCGGTCTCCGAAGAGGATGCCACCAGTTACGTCAAGAAGGTCGTACCTAAGGATTATAAAACCATGGCTGCCCTGAGCAAAGCCATCGCCAAGAACGTGCTGTTTGCACACCTAGACGAGAACGAGCGCTCCGACATATTCGATGCGATGTTCCCCGTGACCTTTCTGCCTGGCGAGGCGATCATTCGTCAAGGTGTGTTGCTCAAACATATCGTCTTACGCTTCCGTCTCGTTGATTTGTTGCATTAATTCATGGAATAAATGACCGTCATATATTTTTTCAAGGCGACGAAGGTGACAATTTCTACGTAATCGATCAAGGAGAAGTTGAAATATTCGTCAATGGTGAACTGGCGACGACGATCGGCGAAGGTGGGAGCTTCGGTGAGCTCGCGTTAATCTACGGAACTCCACGCGCCGCCACGGTCAGAGCGAAGACCGATGTGAAACTCTGGGGCATCGACAGGGATTCCTACCGCAGAATTCTCATGGGCTCTACCATAAGGAAAAGGAAAATGTATGAGGAGTTCTTATCCAGAGTTTCAATACTGGGTGAGTTCGCTCGGAATCTTCATTCCCTGGAGAGGATTACTATCTTATTTTACGCGCGTCTAAATCAATCGGAATTTCTTCTTCAGAATTCTGAAGATAATAGAATTAAATCTGTTACGGAGTTAAAATAATAAAAGTAATCCTTATAACATTTTTAATGATGTTAGATATAGACAAAATATTATAGGGAGATAAAATGAAGAGGGCCATCAATGATATTTACGATGCACTTTGCAGAATCCTTGGATAAATGGGAAAGACTTACAGTGGCAGACGCTCTGGAGCCAGTAGCGTTCGACGATGGTGAAACGATAGTCCGACAGGGCGAACCGGGTGAAGATTTTTATATAATCGTCGAAGGTACGGCGGTGGTCCTTCAGCAACGCTCGGAAGGAGACGAGCCTGCGGAGGTCGGCCGTTTAGGACCATCGGATTACTTCGGTAGTACAAAATCCGGAACAATTAATAACAAATTTCCATAAAAAGTTGATTAGAAAATAATAAAGAGGACATACACAGTTATTTTAGTAACTGTAGAGATAATATTTCAGAAGAATTTACGACTTTCTCTGATATTTACGGTTTCTATTCATTCACCACTACTATCTTAGATTGATGTCAGAAGAGAAAATTATAATAAAAATTCTTCGAAATTATGTTTGAATAGAAATATTTTCAATAAAATATTTTGAATTAATATAGAATAGACTTAAAAATATCCAGAAGATTATCTTCTTATTTCTAGGAGAAATTAAATCGTATTTATTTCTATATAATTATTAATTTAACACTTTGTCATAGCTGTCAATATAGCTCATTTCGTTTTGCATTATATATATTGAATAATTTATTTCCAAATACATGATTATTAATCAATTAACAACAAAAGGAGAATTTTCGATATATCTTACGATAAATATAGTTTATCGTGTTGTTTTATTGAACCGTTTCCGTATTTTGCAAGAATTTTTATTATGTATTTTTTTTCTAACGTTAACTTACAATCAGCAATAGTAGTGATAAGAGAACAGGAGCTTTAATCTAATTCTGCCATTCAATTGATCAGTTTTATGCAAAAAAAAAAAAAAATAATTGAAATAACGACGGAATCCTTTTTCGTTACAGGAGAAATAGCGCTACTGCTAGACAGGCCCCGAGCGGCAACCGTAGTGGCTAGGGGTCCGTTGAAGTGTGTGAAGCTGGATCGGGCACGGTTCGAGCGGGTCTTAGGTCCGTGCGCCGATATTCTGAAACGCAACATCACCCAGTATAACAGCTTCGTGTCCCTCTCCGTGTAAACGGACTCAGTCTCTTCGCATCTCCTCTTCCTAATTCCAATCTCGTTCATCGCAGTCAGTGCTGCTGATCACCCCCC